CATTATTTAAAATTGTTATTCTCTTCTTCTTCATCACTATCTTTTGCAATTTCTGGGGGAACAACAACAACAGTTTCATTCTGGTTATTATTAACATTATCATTATCTGTATCTTCATCAAAAAATCTTTGGAGGGCTTCTTCTAATGTAAGATACCTCGTTAAGGCAGTTTTAAAGCAACCAGAACATTGAAAGGAATGAGTAAAAAAGGAGATTACCCGTTTATTGCTGACCTTGCGTCAGCGCAACATCTGTTTTCCCTTCCTTCCCAACACAAATATAAACATCTGATTGATGTAATGTTCTGATAAACGGTGACCTTGGCTAAAAATAGATCACTCATAAAGACAGAAATGCTTTCGTTAAATATTTTCGGCAAAAATTACCTGTCAAAAATTTTGCTTAAAATATTAGATTAATTATTATAAATAAAATGATTGTTAAACAAATAACAAGGTAAATATATAAAAACAAGGTAAATATTTTTGTACAGAAATAATATTCATAATATTCCCTACACAAAATCATCTGCTAGTATAAAATATCTTAGGCAGTTATATTTATTTATTTTGACTGTTGTGTCAATGCAACACCAGCGGCTAATCATTTAAAATGAGAAGTAAAATCATAATCAGCATGATACATTACAGAAGACTAGCTGCTGCTTGCCTAGAGAGAGGCCTGCTGATCAGAACAATCCTGAAAGCCTCGTGTAGGCACAATTACAAGTTTTGAAAGTTAGTTCTGCTCTGCCTGTCTGATGCAGTTAGTGTCATAACTTCGGGTAGATTTCTTGGGGTTGTAACCCAATTAATATATTTTAATGTTCCAATAAGCCACTAAAGTACCAGAGGTAATAAGTTGTTTTGTATTATTTTAATTCTCACTAGATGAACTCAGAGAATTAAGTTTTACATTAACTTTTACATTTTTGTGCTATATTTTTGTGACCATTGGAAAGATTAATGAAAGGCAATAACTCACTTTAAGACGCAGAGATAACTTTTAAGGGTGACCAATTAGTTACAAATAATTAAATAAGCTAGTTAGATACCCTTAGTCATTACAGATTTACATAGCCACTATTAAAATCACAATCTATTAACATGTCACAGTTTAAAATACATGTAATTTAATGACATTGATTCTTATACAATATATAAGCTATATATACATTATAATATATTCTATACTATAACTATACATTAAAAGCTACAAAACATTTATGTTTTGTAGCAAAAATACTGAGTAAAATATTTGCAAATCTTTTTAATTTGAAGTCTTTCCAGACGTTCTGGCTAATTTATATCAACTTTCTTCACTTTAAACATCTTTTCTAACAATTAGAAATTTGTTTCAATATTTCCACTAGTTTTTGTGTGTTTTATCTCCTTGCTTGTCAATCTCTCGACTATATACCTATGAGGTTTTACTTGATCTGATAAAAGTTAAATGGTCCAAAAATCCTGACAGACGTGAAGCAAATTATCGCTATGTTTGAAAAGTAACTACAAAGTCAGATAAAGTTTTAAATAAATCTTTACAGGTTATGATGATCCAATTAAACAGGAACAGTCAAATTCAAACTAAAAATGTGGACTAGTAGTCAAAGACTACACAATTTAATTTTAATCTAATATGGCTCAGTAACACATCGTAACAAACTTGTAACTCGTCAGAACATAGTTATCACATAACAAATTCAAACACGACAATGATAACACTAAGACAAATAATTACAAATTACCAGAACTGGTAGGAAATAATGCAGCGGTGCAAGAGGAGGCCAGAAACAAATTCTGTCTTACAACATCAAAAACATAGTTTAAAAACTGAGTTTTATTCTGGTGAGGAAATCGAAAGAGAAAATTATAGCAAAGGCTGAAATTATAAACAACTGCTTAATTTACATAATATTAAATTTACATATATTTGAAGAATAATTTTCTTTCTCTTTATGTATTCAGTTTCTTTGTTCAATACATTTCCTCTTCATTTTAGAACTTTTGGATAAAATTAAAGATTTCTATTATTCTAAAAAACTAAATGCATGTAGAATATATAGGAAAAGGTTCCAATTTTACTTCTTTAGTAATATGAATACTCAGAATATACATGAAATGATATATGATAAGAGCCATTATAGAGACGGTGTAGCAGAATTTTTAAAATTTAGTGACACACTGAGCAACAAAATCTAGAAATGGCAAAAATTTTAGAAATTAGGAAGGCACTAGGCAGCAGAATTTAGGATTCACAGAGATTGCATCAGGGGGGAAATGCATAGCGCCAGCCCTGTGTATGATGTACAGAGACACCACTTGGGTTTTTAGCACCTGGGGACAACTGAAGATTTTGCACCCCCTTCTGCTTGCCAAGAATGAAAAACAATTCATTCTCAAATTTTGTAATATCAATATGGCAACCCATGGATGCTGCTGCGTCCAGAGACAGATGTCCCTCTTGCCCCTAACTATGCCATTGATGACACACTGAGACATATAAGATGAATCTTTAAATTGTCAGTTTTCAGTTTTTTATTAATAGAAAAATTCTTTTCTATAAATGCCTGTCCATGTGATAAGATCAAACGCACTTTTGATATTTTCCATGTTAATGAATGTATCCATTTTTGTCTAGTGAAAAGTAGAGAAAACAAAGGGAAGATAAACTTTTAAGAAAACAACTTCTAGTATCAGAAGTAAAACATTCAAATATTATGTTTTCATTGTTCTTCTGAAAATTCTCCGAAAAGTTCATCACAAACTTTCCATGAAATACATCCATTACATGTTAATATCATGAAAACATTTGTCTGGAATCTTGAAGATTCGTGAGTCTATAAATCTTGCTTTCAAATCCTTCTAAACTTTCCTAGTTGCAATGTCTAAAATCTTAAAGAAAAATTACCCCTACCAATTCTACAATAGCAAAAAGCCAGAAATATGTTGAAAAAAAAAATCAGAGGAAAAATGTGTAAAATTAATTTTATAGAGAAACTGATGAATATTGAAATAACTCTTACCATGGAAAAATTAAAACAAAGGCATTTTTAATTAATTATATAACTATTTTGCTTTTGTTACGAATTGTTTCATAAAATTGTGCTAAAGTACAAAATAAACATTTATTACCTTATTTATTTTTCAGATTCAAAATATAAGTAGTCACCAAAATGGAAAGTAATGTCACTTTGTAATATCATAGCGAAAAATAAAAATATTTTACTTTAATGTTATTTCTTGAATACAATATCAATATAGTAGCATTATTTTAATGAAACTGATCAATGTTATAATGTTTTAAAAAAATATCGTCAAAAAATTCCGATTTCTGAATTAAAAATTTTCTGTAGAAACTAATCTTAAAATCGTTAAAATGTAGAAAAGTTGCCAAATTTAAAACCGTTTAATAAAGTATTCACATTCTCAAAAGCAAAAAGTTGATTAAGAACTCTTCATTAGAAAAAAATGAAATAATTCAAAATGCCTGTTGTTTCATTTCTTGCTAAGAAACTTGAGAATCTCACCATTTATATTAGAAATAGAAACAAATTATAATCCACAAAGGACCATATAAACCCTAGACTACAAGTAGGGTTGTAGTGATCCAAGTTCATATTCTAGATTGTCTTATACATGTTTTATCAGATTTAAAACCAGAAAATATGTAAACCATTCCATCTACTAGATTCTTTCCCTCAAGATAATTGGTTACTAATGCAGCATGATGGGGGTGAGCATTATCTTCCATTGGGAAAAAATTATTATAGATTGTACCACTCAATAACTTGATATAAGGATAAAAAAAAATGCTCTTTATATTTTAAAATTTAAAGTTGCACTGTCAAAAATGTGTAGATTAGTGCAACCACTTAAAGGATACCCATCCCATTACCATGATTCCATCACCTTCGCATCTTTCATGAGTTTTTCTAGGCTTATTCCACTTGCTTTGCTCCTTCCAGACTGTAAAAGGTCTGGAATTACTTTCCAACAGAACTCAGCTCCAGTCTATACCATTCCAATCATGACAACCTCTGCACCACTGCAACCAAGTGCATTTTGCAGCCCAAGTCAGTGGGACATAAATTGCGAGATTCTTTGCTTAAAGTCCCTTTTTGTGTAGCCTGTCATTCACAGTATATCTGGGCTCCCAAGTTCCTCTAACTACAGCAATCTCCCTTGCTATCTGATTAGTTGTCTATTTCTTTTAGTAATCAATGCCAAATAACAATTCTGAGAGTTTGTTTTGGTGCATCTTCGACTTTGAATAGGTTGTTTGCATGCATTACATCTTTAAAGCATTTCCAGCTTTTTGACATGATACTTTTTGGCTACTTTTAGATGTTTACAGAAAGTCAGACTACCTATATTGTCAGACTACCTATAGAGTAGTCTGACTTTCAATCTTCCAGCCACATGCCATTCCTCTTAATCTATCAAATGGCTTCACTAGGACACGTTCCACTTTCATGATCCTAGAATTTACCCAATTACTTACACAATCCTTGAAATTGGAATTTGAAGCCCCGCATGCACTCCTTTCACATGTGCCAAAAGAACAGGTGCAAAAATTTTCATGCTTTTGGGTAGTGAAAGTGAATTAGTTACATTGCACTAAGTGATAACTTTGACCCTGGCCTGCCAATTACCTTTCATTAGACTTCACTTAATGGAATTAACATAAAGCACTATTTTATAGTTCTTTTCATTTTTCCTGCCATATATTATTGATAAGGCACTACAAGATTATAACATTGCATAATACATGGGAAAATAATACAATATTTTAGTAATTTATATTTATTATTAATTTACGAGTAAATTTATAATTAAATGTACTAACAATGAGTAACAGTATGATTCAATATGAATTTGGCTAAAAATAAATATAATTATATCAATATTAGGATATTAAGCCCAATTTCACAATCTGAACAATTATTTTATAAATGTTATAATTTCAGTTCTGCATATCATTATTTTCCAAAAACTCACTTTTCTGTATTCGGCATAAGGATCCTGACCAGCCCTGAGGACATATGCATTTTCCAGAAAACCTGTCGCATTCAGCTCCATTATAACACCGGCATCGGAAAGCACAATGAGGGCCATATCTTCTCCTTGGGCAAACTAATGTAAAATAAATTAGTGCATTTGATTGTTTAGAAAATCATTTATATTTATATATTATTAAATTATGACTAATTTAATATCAGAAGTAAATTTTATAACATATCTGCAATTTGAACATATGCATATTAGAAATAATTAAAAATTAGAAAATATCTAAATATAAATTATTGTGATCTTTTAAGTAGAAGGCCTACTTATTATATTGGGTCATTAAAAAAGTTCTACAGTTTTTGATGATAAATAAAAATGAAGCGTTATAGTCATTACATTACAATTATTATTTGCTAAATTTGAGCCCTTTCAGTTTTTGTTTGTTTGTTTATTCTTGTATTTTGGTAACCACATATTAAATTATTCCTAAACACTGTGACACTGTCTGCTATTAGTGCTGTCATCTCACACATTTTCTCCTTTCGTATTTCTTGTAGAAATTTTGCAGTCTGTAATAGTTATTACTTCCTTGTATGAAGTAAAAAGGAAGTCACGAAAAATTTTGGGTATCCTATTTCAACAAAAATATCCATTTTGACCATTAATCGAATGCAATTTAATGATGTTTTTACATGACATCTGTACATAAGGACAGAATAAAGGACTCTTTTTCCCCAAATGAATTATAAAACTGACTTTAAACGGATTTAGAAGAGATTTTTTCGTGCTGTTTGTATGTAAGTATGTATGTTTGTGTGTTACATAACTCAAACACAAGTAGCCTCAGAATGTTGAAATTTTTTATATAGGACTGCTATAACATGTAGATGTGCACTGCCTATTTTGGTTGCAATCAGCCACACTAAAAGTATTTAAATATATGTATATGTATATATAATTTGTTTACTAAATAATATTGATTATATTATCTCCTAAGTTTAATTATAGTAGGATTATCTTAAAAGAGTGAATCCATACTAGTAAGTTATATTTTGAAAGATCTTTTGAAGTAACTTGAAAGTAAAATGTTAAAAATGTTTTAACGGCGACTGGAATTAAATCATGAATAACAAAATTTCAATTGTAAAAGGAATAAATTAAAGGCAAGAATTAAATTAAATGCATGTAATCATTGTCATTGATCGGAAATTAGTTGACTTTTCAAGGGGAACAAACCAACGCCCGTTCAATGAACAATAATTAATAAATAAATACGAAGGTGTTTCGTCTTTACTCGAGCAATGAGGCTAAGCCAAATCGGCAATACAAGTCAGGACAAATATTCCGTGAATAGAAGGGATTATGAACCAATGCTGATATTCAAAACACTTATTCCTATTAAGCATTTTAGCCAATTCAATTTTGAGTGAAAAGCAATTTCTGCAGTGATTGCTTGCATTTAATTTAATTCTTGCCTTTAATGTATTCCTTTTACAATTGAAATTTTGTTATTCATGATTTAATTCCAGTCCCCGTTAAAACATTTTTAACATTTTACTTTCAAGTTACTTCAAAACATCTTCCAAAATATAACTTACTAGTATGGATTCACTCTTTTAAGATAATCCTATTATAATTAAACTTAGGAGATAATATAATCAATTAATCAATATTATTTAGTAAATAAATTATTATTAACTTACTTTGCAGCAATTGTGCAAGTAGTAGTAACTTTCTTTACACTAAATGAATTTAAAATCATACAATATATGTATATATATATATATATATATATATATATATATCCACTCTGTTACTCAGCTTAGTGAGCCCCGTCCTTTAGTTAACCTGCATGTTATAGTTGTAGAATTAACAACAATTTAAAAGTTGTTTAAGTGCGGCCAAGCTTAATTTATTTTATTATAGCAGACATATTTGTTTATATTTGAAACTTAACAGAATAGTGGATTTGTTGCCCATCTAGAGAAACAAAGCTTCGCAACAACAAAGTAACATCTTCTTTTATTATTGTGAATTAAATTATGCTTAATCCATTCTAAAATTATCATTTAAGTTATTAAATTAGCTGATATGTTGACTCGGCATAGCATCCACAACAAATTAAGTCACTTTCTTTGCCTTCAGTGTCTTTTTGCCGAGTGAGACCAAAAATAAACTTTCAGTTTTGTGCATCAAAAAATCTGCCTTCTTGCCCGCTAGCCGAATAGCTTGCTTTTGCATAGAAACTATAATTTTAACTGTAAATTTCGTTTTTTAATTTTCTTAACTGTATTTGGTGTTTTATATTTTTCTATATTCTTTAAATTTTTAATATAGCTATTTTGAGTTTTTACATATTTTTGTCTTGTCGCAAAGTAAGAACTGAATTAATTGAATGAGAAATATATCTCTAATGAAATTCAAGGAAATAAAGTTTCAATGAAAGGCAGGAAAAAATGCGTATAATTTAATATTCCGTACAAAGAAGTCCTGTGGTGTACACATCAGATTTTTTTCCCACTATTATGCAATAAAGAAAACAAGGTCCAGTTAATTTGCAACATGGTTAGTATGTTTCCAGTTAATCGGGAGTTGATTGTAATTGATACTAATAGAAATAAAATTGTCATTTGCAATGATATAATGTTTGGAAATAACAATAAAAGCTCACATGCCAAGCTATGTACGAAGTATTACTGCCTTATTACATTTCTTTCCTGAATTTACTGTCTGATTTGTTGGCAACAAGTCATAGTATACAATTCTTTATCTCTTTTTTCAGCAAAGATTCATGCACTAAAATCCGAACAAGCACATTCTGGTGTATTAAAGTATGAAGTACCTATGCATTGTAGTGACTTACATACCCAATCTTCTTAAAATGATCATGTACTGTACTTTTTGGAATATTTATTTTGTCTGATGATTCCTTTTTTTTTTTTTTTTTTTTATCCTACCCTGTCCGCGGCACTTCTGCCATTAAGCAACGAACAGCCCAGTAAAATGAAAAAGGATGAAAATGAGAATTAACAAGTTCCTGAAATGTATAGCTTGTATTTTCAGCAATAGCGTCTTTTAATAGGTCCTTTTTTACAGAGGATGGTTGCCCAGAGAAGGTATCATTTTCGGGGCTGAAATTTACACATTTTAACTTTTCAAATTGCATCCTCAGAAAAAATGTCCATATACAGAAAATATTTCAAGCAGACTAACTAGCATTTGCTTCTTTTTTCACATAAAATATCACAATATGATGAAAATGAATTTTTTTATTTCTCCATTCTTAGTACTGCACTGAAACAAAAGCTATGTCAGCACACATGCTAAAATTATGTGAGTGTAGGTACAGGTTGATACAAGGCCAGTTATGCATCCATATAGGCATATTAGGTAGTGTTGGCCCTTGTTAACTAAGTATCAGCCCCAATTAGAATTCCCTGATGTCTCCCACTCTTCTTAACACCGAACTTGTGAGAAGATTTTTGCTTTCCAAGTATTTTTATTGTCTCCTTGCTATACAGACACTATGTGCTTACAAACATTCTTGTCTATTCTGGGATTCGAACTTGGGCACATCAGTATACAGCAGCCAGTGTCATTAGCCAATATACCCCCTGGGCAGTGCTAGAATCATGCAGCATGTAACTGCATTTAAACATCCACTTTTATCCACTTAAACATCCACCTTTTTTTTTTTTAAGTCACACCATAACAGGGGTAACAAAATAATTAAAAGATAAATAACAAAAAATCTCCAGGATTATGTTATTCAAAATTTGATCGCTCTAGATACCATTGTTTTATCACAATGCGAGAAACACACATACATTTATGCAGATTCTTCATTATTTAATTTCTTTAACACAGGGTGATAATATTTGGCTGCAATAATCCGAAAAGAGAAATGGGCATGTAAAGTTTTCATCGCTAAATGCGGAAAAGAAATTAATAGCCCTTCTGGGCTAAAACTTAAATCAATAGTAGTATATATATATAAAAAAAAAAAAATCTGAAAGTTTTCAGATTTTATATTATGCCCAAAGAGGCATTTTTTTAATGTTTTGTGTGTTACCTTTATTTTTAAATATCATGTTCATTTCAACAGCAATATCACAAAATATTTAAAAAGAACATATTTTTAGAATTTCTGATACACAGTCTTGTGAACTGAAGACAAAAATGTTTTTTTCTCCATACAGTGTTATCATTGCTCGCTTCAAAATCATTGAGTTTGTTTGTCAAAAATTCATTAAAGTTTTACAAAATATGAAATAGATAATAAAACAAATTCCAAATTTGGGCTTCCACATGCTCATATTCAAGTGGAGGACTACATAATTCAAAATTTAATGTCTCTAGGTTCCCTTATTTTTTCACAATATGAGAAACATACACACATTCATGCAAAGTCTTCATTATTTAATTTCTTTTCATATAATGCAAGGCTCTCACATTGTTGGCAGCATTTTGAAAAGTGAAATGCCATTTTATAGTGAATACTGCAAAATGCCAGAATGAAATTAACAGCCCTACTGGGCAAATTGCCCCTTTAGGCTAAAAATGTGTTTCAATTTGAAAAACTGCAAAGCATTTGGAGTGACCCAATGCTTCTTTTTCCTCAACTTTTTCTCAAGTAATTAAATAATCCAAATGTCACATTTTGAGATAAAAACTGATATTTCTTTCCTACATGAAAATTAGTAAAAAAAAAATATAATATTCTAAGTTTTTTTTTTTTTTTTTTTTTTTTTTTTTTTACATGTAAAGCTTTACATAGAAAAAGAGGCTTTTTTTGTTTGTTTGTTTGTTGCAGAACAGAATTTAGGATATAGGAAGATTGCAGTTTAGCCAATACTGCATTAATTTTCTTCAAAATTATCATATGAATAAAATTACCAGTCTGGCATTGTTGCCCTGTCAGTCCAGGAGGACAGAAGCACATTCCATTTACAGGATGACATGGATTGCCTCTGCAATTGCATTCTTTTGTGCAGTTGATGTCAAATCGACCTATAGGACACACTGAAAAAATTTTTTTTTACTTATAATTGAAATTTAACTAAAATTATTAAGTACAAAATTTATAAAAAGGAAGTAAAAAATTAATTTGCAATCTGAAAGCCACAAAATGTCACAATCTAACCTTTAAAAAACTAAAAAGAGTTCACTATCATAACTATCAATCCTGAAATATGAAAGTTTTCTTGCATTGTGGACTACACTATTTCAAAAGAATTCTCAATTGGGTTAGTCCTTTGTAATTGTATGTCATCATATAGTCACCACAACATGATTTACCATTGCTTTTAAATGTTGCCATACAGTCGCCATCCTATGTTTGGTCAAATGGCAAACTGCACATTTTGTGTCAAAACTGGGAGAGAAAAAGGGCTATTTTAGTGTGTTCTAACTGAAAAATGAGAGATATGAAACCAGATATATTTGCAATTTATTAGCTTGTGAGCCTGCTCATACATGTTGGTGACTGATCATGCAAAACTATGATTTAATTTTTTCAAAGTTAATATATGAAATATGAAAGTTTTTTTGCATTGTGGACTACGCTATTTCAAAAGAATTCTAAATTGGGTTAGTCTTTTGTACTTGTATATCATCATATAGTCACCACAACATGATTTACCATTGCTTTTGAATGTTGCCATACAGTCGCCATCCTATGTTTGGTCAAATGGTAAAGTGCACATTTTGTGTCAAAGCAGGGAGAGAAAAAGGGCTATTTTAGTGTGTTCTAACTGAAAAGTGAGAGATATGAAACCAGATATATTTACAATTTATTAGCTTGTGAGCCTACTCATACATGTTGGTGACTGATCATGCAAAACTATGATTTAATTTTTTCAAAATTATTTGGATCATCTTTTGCTTATAATGTTAGATTAGCACCAGTGATAGTTACTAACATATTTAGATTGACATTGTAGTTTTGCTAGCATTTTATTATATTGTTAAATTATTATATTGTTAAGCATTTTTTTAAATCACAAATTTATTATTATTATTGTACTGATACTGTAATACAGGATTCTGTCTTGAAGGATTGGATTAAAATATTGGAGCTTGTGTGATGGTGGAGGCACCGGAACTACATTTCTTATCCCTAATTGTTAGTTGTAAAAAATACATTGAAGTTTAGGATTTATTATTAATTTTGAAGTTAGTTTTATTGATTTATGCAAATTTATATACATAGGATAGGATTACACTGGCCCTGCCCAAAGAGATGTACAGTCAAAAGTCGTTAATCCGGACTCGTCGGGACTTCGGCGATTCCGGATTACAGATCATCAGTTTAAATCTCGTAAGATGGCATGCAGAAATTCTAAAATTAAAAATATGAAACCGTAATTTATGAAATAAAGAACAATTATGATCTAAAGGGTATCAAAATTTCCAAAAAGAAAAAGCTTAATATTTATTTATTTACTTTATTAAACATTTCTTTCAATGTAAGTTGTTTAAGTTTTGCTTCCTTTCATGTGATAATACTTCCTCTTTAATTCTATTAAACAGACATAATTTCTTGTTCAGTTACAAAGTTCTGCTGTTCAAGTCCTATAATTGCTGTGTCGAGAACAATTTGTCAATCGAAATTTTTTCGTTTTTAATAACCTCTGTCACTTTCTTCGCTATCGGAAGCGAATTATAATGACAAGGAACTTGTTTTAAATCATATCAAAGACGGAGCATATCGATGAAATACTACATTTGGTAAGGAATTATAAGCCAAATAAAATAAAAACATCTGCGTTGAAGATAAGGATAGCGCTGACAGATCAACTTCCAATTCATTACACGCCCGCCGCGGCGTTCCCCCCGCCGAGCAGCATGAAATTGATAAACAGATTTCGGATTTCAAAACATACTTTCGCTTTAGATCCTTTACATATTAGCAAATATATATTGGAAATTCTGTTTGATATAATCGAAAGTTTAAACTTACTTTTATAAAATTGCTCTTACAGTCTGCAAAAAATAATAAAGCCGGATCCAATTCGAAAATTAAGGAACAACGCAATCATCAACATTAACTTTAATAGATAATTAGATAATTTTAGCTTATACGTCCATTATACATAAAACGCGCACGCGAAAACGTATTCTGCACTTGCGCACACTCATATGCGCAATCGTAAAAGGTCTTACGCGCACACGTAAACCACCTATGCGTATGTGTCAACGCGGCGCATGCGCAGAAAGTTTTTAGTTTTGAGGTCCGGATTATAGATCATTCCGAATTATGGGTGTCCGAATTAACGACTTTTGACTGTATATAGAAATATATATGTGTAATATGTTTCTATAAAAATATTTTCATATTGATTGAATATGAAAAAACATTCAGAGCTGACTGGAAGTCTATAAATAATTTAAAGGCAAAATGCACCATTCAGGCTATGAACTATTTATAATATGATTTTGATGTAATATATATTAAAACTTTGGATAATGTTCATAAAATGTTCTACATATGTCTACACTAGATTAAGATAATTCAGCTAAAATTTAATAAGAAAAATTATTCTCAAAATCACTATGGAAGAAATGTATTTGCACACTTTAAGTTTTATTAATTCAATAAATTTCATTTATTGCTGTAAAACATTTTCCTAAGTGAAGGCTTAAAAATTGAAAATATGGTGATTCTGTATCTAGTGGGTGATGTGATGGAAAGCTGGAACAACTGGCAGGTATGCACTATTAAAAATTTTTAAAAAAATAAAAAAAATAAAAAGAAAGAAAAAGATTTATCTTTTTAGATAAAAGCACTATCTACCTTCAAATAAAGTTAAAACTCAAACAGAATTTCAATTTCAAAAGCTACAGTACTTTTTTTCGGCATTTCTTTCCTGAATGAAAAATTATATAAACAGAAGACTTTTGAAATATCAAAATATTAAAAAAGTGTATCTCTGTTTAAATAAAAATTATAAAAAGAAATATACAGAAAGATTTCAATCTGTTCCTTATTTCAAAATTTCACCACCATCTGAATTTATTTACAATGCAGATATTAAAGAAGCAAACTTCAAAATTTTACACTTAGCCCAACATAAGGTATTGGAATTTGGTACAACATAATGTTTATTTATGAAATTCAAGACAATTTTAAAAATGGAAAATGTCATTTTTTGTTTTTTAAACTGTTAGAAATGTTTTTGTTGGAAAATGTTATTAAGTAAAGATAAAATAACTTTTAAAATTATTTTACTTTATTATGTTGATAAGAAATGCATTTTATAATGCTTTTATAAGGATAAAAAAATCTTAAGCATCGGGAGCAATATCTTGTGGTGTTTCTGTGTAAGAAAAAGGATTTTATTGCCCATTCCAAATAATAGCATCACTCAAAATTTTAAAAAAATTGCATTCAGAGAACTTTGAATAGCAGTTTAACATACTGGGAATGATTTAATTATTTAATAAATGAAAATAATATTTATTCTTGCCAACAGACAAAATTAATTTATTACAATTAAATAACTCTTCCCTCCCTCCCAAGTTTGAAAACTTCAGGACTTGTTTTTGTATTTTTTTTGGGGGGGGATGAAAATTGATGTAAATAGGAAAACAGCATTGCTTGATATGATGCAATATAGTACTGCCTGGATAAAGAAGATACTGAAACACTGATAATAAATAAGAACTGTTTTTATAATTTTAGATTAGAAATTTCTTTTTCCATTCATTCCGATTTTTTGCCACGAACTACATTCTGAAATCTGGAATTTTGACTTATCCAGAATTTCCCGAGCTTTCACTGTACCCCAAAATTTTGACTTGCATTACTCACTATTCAAAGATTAATGTTTTTCATCTGGCAAATATACACATTAATATGTCTTTAAGTAATAGGAAACTCATCTCATTCATTTCTATTTTTAAAACTATAGTTTCAGTACTGATTTCTAGCATTAATACTGTCTCAGGAACAAAAGATCAAAGACAATATGCCTTTTAAACTAATTCTATGTTCTCTTCACCTATTAAAAATATCATTTAGAGCTTCAATTTTTCTATATCAGATTCCTTATCAGTTGGATATCAAAATTTGTTAATCACAGACTCAAATAAAGTTAAATTCTAGCAAAACTCCTAAATAATATTTACTAAGAAAATTTCCAGTAATAACTTACATTTAATCTTCCAGATTACGAAACTAAACTGGAAATTTTAAAATCTCACCATGTTCGCAGACTTCTCCAGTATATCCTGCAGGACACCGGCATTCTCCAGTGGCTGGCATACAATTTCCTGAATTCAAGCAACCACATCGCTTTGTGCAATGATGTCCATACCAACCTGGTGGACAAGCTAAGAAAAAGTACTAGATTAAACTGCTGCAATTTTGATATATGCAGTAAATTCATTCAAAAAATAATATACATACAGTGTTCACAACGGCTCCCAGTAAAGCCACTCGGGCAAAGGCAAACTCCATTTTTAGTATCGCAGACTGCATTGTTGTAACACTTGCATTTATGTTTACAGTTCGATCCAAAGCGGCCATGGCTGCATCCTGAAAACATCCGAGGCCTTTTTATCAGAAGGTGATAAAGTAATTTTAAATAACATCATACCCTAATATACACTCACTTCCCAAAGTTAAGCACGAAGATGTAAAATGCAAAAAAATCAACAAATACTGCTTTGATTGACACAAAATTTGGCAGGAAAGTAGCATATATATTTATGCAAAAAGCAAAATCAATAATTATATGAAGAAATGAAAACAATATTAAATTTTTGAAAGTTTTCAGATAATGACATACTGGAGACAGAATTATGTAGAAAGTGAAAATAAACAGCATAAAATGAAAAAAAAAGGACATTAATAGGGTATGTGATCCCCTCTTATCTGTACACAAAGTTTACACCTTGTGACCATGCTTTCAATTAGGTGGTCAACCACCGCAGAATTAAGCAATCACCTTGTAGAGCAGTTTCTAGCTCAATAAGAGTTGCTGGAGGTGGGAAACGTGAAGATACAGCACAGCCGAGAGCATCTCAAAGATTTTCAATGGGATTAAGATTGGGCGATTATGCTGGTCACGCCATATGCTCAATCCCTTCTCTCTCCAGGTAATCATCAATGATGTCAGCTCTATGGGGATGTGCATTATCGTCCATTAAAACAAAAGTAGGGACAAGTGCTGCAGCATACAATTTCACAATGGGTTCTAGGACTTCATCTCGATACCGGACAGCCGTCAAATAACCCGTTTAAAGATGTGCAGGTCGGTGCATATCCTAATGAAATCCCTGCCCACATCATAATGCATCCGCCTCAGAATGCACGATGTTTTGGGACTGAATGCGTGATGTTTTGGGACTGATTGCATGTTCGTTGTTCAACGCTTGTCATCTGTCTCCAGAGCAAATCTTGACTCATCAGTAAACATGACATTGCCCCAGTCAGACACATTCCAATTGAAATGTTCCCGGCACCACTGTAACCGTGCCCCTATTTGATTGGATGGATTGAGGAACACAAACTCGAGATACCTGGGTATACAGTCCACTCATATGTAATCTTCGACGTACAGTAGCTGCAGATATCGCTATACCAATGGACGCTGTAACCATAGATGTCACACGTGTGGAGGTCGCTCTGCGATTCTGCTTGGCTACAATAGCAATATATCAATCTTCAGCGGGGGTTGTAACCCTTGGACGACTGGCTACGGGTCTTCGGACAACTGTCTGTGTGGTTTGGAATTGTTTCCATAAACATGAAATTACAGAATGATGAACGAAGAAAAGAGCAACATCTGTGATCGACTGTCCTGCTTCAATGCATCCCACAGCACGCCAGCGCTCAGAATCTTTCATTCGTCTTCTGCAAGTCATACAAACACGTATGTCTTGAAAACAAATTGTGTGAAAGTTTTAAACGCATTCTATCAGCACTTACAATCAACTTCTGTAACCCTTCATAAAGCTGGCTCTTATAAGACTGCCTTTTTTGCATATTTCTTGACATGGAAAGCACGCGACTTGGCTGTTACCCAACATATTTGCATACTTAAATTTACCTCTGCAGCGAATTGCATACTCTTCAATTCTGATTGGCTTCCGGAAATTAGCATTTTTCTCTCCATGCTTAACTTTTGGAAGTGAGTGTATTTTTAAGTAAATGAAACAATTTTAGAATAAAAAATTTTAAAATGGAAAAATTTAATTAAAAAAATTGTAAAATATATTGTTGCAGGTTGCAAACAGAAAATATAGTTTGATTCATAATACATGTGACCAAATTTTGTGTTTTGATGGCTTTTTGAACTTATGCTTATATAGGTTTTTAAGGCATACCATCAGAAAAAATTACAAGAAGCAACATTAGATGGTATATTTTTGAGGAAATAGATTAACTGATATTTTTGTTACTAAATCATTTTATACCTGACTTAAATACATGGCACAGTACAACATTATGATGGAACATAATCTCTGTGATAAATACTTGGGAATATGCAAATGCTATCCTCCCTGAGAAAGTGCTATAGAAAGCCAAAACATTTCAGTACTGTCCAAGATATACTATACGAGATTATGTATCAGGTGTGCTACCCACTGTACTACTACAGTGAGAAGGGATGAACTGAGGTGATGTAGGTATCCAGTCATGGAGAGATGATTTGCTAGAGGTAAAGAAAATGAATTTACAAAATAACCATTATTAGTAGGAATGCAGGGGGGGGCTGATTCAGAACCCTATATTTTTTAAGTTGTAGCTGAAACAATATGGAATGCAATATTAAATCTGAAAGTAAAAGTTATTATGAATTACAAATCACAAAGAAAAATTTTAATTCAAATCAGAAATCAAAGAAAAATTGAATAAAATAGAGAGAGCTGGTCAAATAGGTCTCAGGTTTTCATTGATTGTTATTTTCGTAATAGATGTAATGATAATACTGCCGATATTTTTGTAAAATTTTTCAGCCAGTTTTGTCATAAATTTGTGAATTTATTTGATTTTGAATTCTTCATGCACAGAGGTGTTTCTGATAAGCCATATGCTGCAGATAAGCCGCTTAAGGGTAGTATTTTACAGAGTTAACTGCATTTTACATGCATAACCCCTGAGAGGAAAATCATAAGTGAATATGGAATGTAGCATGGTCTTGTACAAGAGCAGTTTATAAACATAGGTTTTGTTCAAAAAATGAACTGAGTTGAAAAAAGGGTTTTCCATTCATCCAAAAAGGAATAAAGTGGAAGGTGTATTATAAAGTTGTCCTGCAGAAAAATTTCAGAAGCTTTTAAAATTTCCTGGAACTGGAAAAGTGCATGGAAAGAAACATCTTCAGGAATTCTTTAGAAGCTTCTGAAAATTTTTTGAAGAACAATATCATTAATGATGCAACTTTCAATCTATCCCAATTTTAAAAATATATATATATATATATTTTTAGAATTTCTTACAGCATTGTAACTTCCCCGCAGAGCTATCTTGTTAATGATGAAGTATCTATTCTGTTTCTGTAGGAGGTACAAAAAATCTGTTTTGAGCCCCACCACTTTTTAATTAGAACCACGGATCAACAATCATATAAATAGTACATAGTTTATAATACTTATGTGGGGTAGGATAACTTCAACACAGTAACAATCTCCAGCAAGTGTATTCTTTATCAAAAATGTGGAGCTTGCTCCATCCATCCATTCATCATCATATCTTTATGAAGTTGGCTGCAGTAAACCAAGTCACATGTTGTTTGGTTGCATTGCACAACTTGTTAAGCAATGTTGACTGCTGTTTAATTTTGATCTCTTTTCAGCTACAAGGCAATATATCAGTCACTATTGTTTTTCTTACATGATCACCACCAACCCTTCTTACAGCTGTATCAATCATTTGGAAGGCCTTCAATAAGATCATGAAACAACACTTTTGTCAATTCCAAACACCTGGATGATAGTCTCCCCTCAAGCTTGCAAATCGATCTACCATTGGTAAAGGCATCCTGGTGATTTTCTTGTAGCCATACTGCACTTGCAGAATCTCATTTTCACTTGTAGAATGCCTGAAAATGCACTTTCCTTTCTTCATTTTAAGTTGCCTTACACTATGTGCGCTGACTTCTCATGTTTTATATACCCTGACATATTTTCTAATATCATAGTGCTGATAATTACATATGAATCATCTTTCTACTGAGTTGCTTTTCATTGTAGTTATTGAAAAATGCCTTTTTCAACAATTTCATGGTTGCATGTTGAAAAATCAATTTATTGCTTAAATTCTTTCAAACTGATGTGTATTTGATTAGCTAAAAGAATAGTAATATTGATGTTGCAAAACTGTATAGACCGCAAAAAATAGTAAAGCAAAGGGAATGGCATTAAAAGACCAGTACATTGTGTACCTTAGATTTGTGCACTAGATTTAAAAAAAAAAAAAAAAAATTCGAGTCTACTGCATTATATCACCAATTCCATTTTGAGGCAAGAGGTTTTCTACAGTTCTGACCTAATCTCAGCTCTCATTTATATTTGGACCTTAGAAATACATAAAGCTTCTTCTATTTTTTTCAGTATGTTACCATAGAGTTATTCATTCTGCTTACCAATTTTTAATAGGAATTTTCATTACATGTAGAATTTGATTTTTAGTTTATCCAAGCGATTTGGTACATTTTCAGTTCTCAGAAATATTGCCCAGTTGAGTTGCATAAGATTTTTAACTTTCAAACTAAAACAATGCATTTTTTAACATATTAAAGAATTTACATGCAACATATGCATTTAGTTGATATAATTTATAACACATATAAGTGATAACTTAAAAACAGTTGCACTGTTGATGCATTGTATTTAATTAAGAGATATTTCTAATGTCATGCATTGTGTACTTTGGGTATATAATAACAATTCTACACAACCTAACAAGATTGCCATACTTGCTTTTTAGTTATAAGTCATATTTTAATCTTTTGGACTAATTCTGACAGACAATTATTAGAAGGCATTTTCATTCCAATTTTTAAAAGTTTTATGCTATTTTGAGAATACTGACTTTAAGAACTATAAAGTATCTTGTTTTAAACTTTCAATGATTTTTACTTTGTACAAAGTAAAGAAAGTATTGTAATTGTGAAAAATTTTGGTTGTCAGTTTTTAACAGAAATATCAATTTTGACTGTTCCCAAATTAATTTTGACAATTTTTCATGATGCTTGTATGTACAGACAGAAGAAAGGATTCCTTATTCTAAAACGGACTGTAAAATAGATTCAAAATGGACTTTCTGTGACACCTGTATGTATGTATACCTTGCATAACTCAAAAATGATTAGCTGTAGAACGTTGAAATTTAGTTTATGGGACTGCTATAACATCTAGTTGCATAACTCCCTTTTTTTATTGCAATCGGCAGTACCAAAAGTGTACATATAATTAATATATATGTAAGATATAACAAAATACAATAGCTGCTTTAAAAAAGTAATTGGCGACCTCGGAATTAACATTTTCAATTTGGTGCTCTTCCCCTAAATTCATCTGTTCTGTCAAATTCGAGATCTCTCAATGTTATGTAATGCTGCTTGAAAAGGGTAACCAAAACTAATAACTAACCAATCATAGCTTATCTCTAGAATCACACCTATTCTGGTATAAAAGCTCTTAGCAGTTAATTTTGTCAGTTCTGATAGCTCCCACCTTGCTAATATCTCCTCACTTTGCTTAGCCTGCATCCTAAATTTAAGAATCAATGTAAATAGCAATTTATCATACTTCATTATGTTTGAAGCATCAGAAATGTATCGGATTTCATTATGATTGGATAAACATCTATGGAGATGATTTTATATGTGTGAAAATAAAGATTGGAAATTCTTCAAGTTCATGCTTTGTTATCTTCATCTGTAAGCCTTCACTCTCAGCTACGATGACTGCAATCATAGCTGAGAGTGAAGGCTTACAGATGAAGATAACAAAGCATGAACTTGAAGAATTCCCATCTTTATTATATATACATATATATATATATATATGTGTATAATTTGAGTTTAATAAATTAAAGTTAATTAAATTTTAAATGAAATTTAATCACAAACAAATAAATTATTAATTATTGCTGCAAACTAATCTACAATATCTTTTAAATTCTGAGAACACATGTAAATCAAGTGCAAGTATCAAACTCCATGAATAAATATATAGTTCCAAAATGTACATGTATAAGTGAATAATTGTTGAACAGGTTTGCACTTGATATACATGTGTTCTCATAATTTAAATGATATTGTAGATTAGTTTGCGGTAATAATTAATCATTTATTTGCTTGCAATTAACTTTAAATTTGCTTTTACGAATTGAGAACATTTGTTAAATTCAAATTTCATTCCTTGCAGCAATGGTGCAAGAGAATTGTTTAAATCTAATTTAACTTTACTATTTATTCTTTTGAAACAATATATATATATATATATATATATATATATATATATATATGCGATAGGAAGAGAGCACAGAAGCATCAGAGGTAGAAGCAAAAGCGCACAATTATCCAATATGGAAGCTCATCCAGAGAAATTTTTGAGTTCAAGTTCCAAATTAGCTATGCCATCAGCATTACACAAGCCATGCGACATAGACTAATTTAGAAATGGCACAGTCCAGAAAATTTATTACTTTTAAAATTAAGAGAGGAAATACCCAAATTAAAAATGAGGAATTAAAAGGCTAAATTAAACTATAAAGCTAATTTACATATTTTTTTATCTTACATATATTACCCACAGAAGTGTTTTAAACGACTTAAATATTCATGTATTGGCAATTTCAGATTTTTAAGGGAAAATTTTATATCTTTTATAAAAAATAAAAATACAAGAAATTTGACTCCCACATAATATAAATTCACGGGGAAATTTAATTTCAAAATTTGATGTCATTTTCAACTTGCCTTGAGGATTGATTAACTAAATTAGAATAATTTGAGGAAATACGTTTAAATGGAAAATATATATATAATTTAATAATGATATTAGGTTGAATTAAATAATCACTGCAAATATTAGTTTTCCATCATTTTTAACAGAGATTAAGTAATATTAAAAAAACATAAATTTTGTAATAAAAGTAATACAGAGTGATTCGTCATTGATCACAAAAAATTTTTTAAAAAATCTGATATGCTTTACAATAAAACATAGAAAATAATGTAGAAATATTATTTACCTATTTAAAGGCAAATATTGGGCAAAGAGAAAGTCTATTGTAGTTTCCTGGGAGGGCAGTGAATTATATTTTCTTATTTATAAGAAACATTTTAAAAAATTCATGAATATTTTTTAGTTTGGCCACAAACTCATGATTTATATAAAACATAAGAAAGTTGATTACATGCAACATACTCTCCCGACAATGTGTCCCATGATATCCAGGAGGACAAAGACATTTTCCACTGACAAGATCACAAGTGGCATTATTCTTACAAGAACACTTCTGACTGCAATTTTCACCAAAATAACCAGGACTGCAAGCTGGGAAACAAATAATTTTCTTAAAAAACAAAAACAGACAAGACTTTGTACAGTTTTTTAATCAAACTATAGTTTCAGAGGTAACATCAAATTAGTGAAGTATATAACTTATTTACAACAAATATTCAGAAGCTACCTGACATAGGAAAAAAATGCCTTAATGAAGTACTTAAGGAACTGATTTTGAATCAACATTAAATACGTGGAAAATTGGGCAGGAGGAATACATGCTGCTAATCTCTTCTGCTGCTAAGAATTGAATCTGAAATAAAAATTCAACAGTTGAGTATCTGTGAAGACCTTGGTATTGGCTCATTTTACTGCCACAGTCTTGGTGCCCTTGAAAGTAATAAGTGACCCTGGTCAGTCTGAGGTCTATGGAGGAAAAAATAAACATCGTAATGCCAAGGTAAAAGTGGATTTTGGCCTCTACTGCAAATAAATGTTTGGATCTATTTTGTGGTGCAAAATCTAACTGGTCATCAAATCATTCCAACTTACAGTATTCATGCAGCTATTGGTGGGCATAATATTATATAGAAATATATAAACAGTTTTCACCAATAAACATGCAGTTGTATGAATATATTTTCTCAATATTTTTAAAATATGTATATCAGAATCTAAATGATTTTAATAATTATTAAACACAAAACTTTTAATATCTGAAATACACTTATACCTGAACATTTCATTCCCTTATTAAGAAGGCAAAATAATTAATCATTTACCTTTATTGCAATGCAATCCTGTCCATCCTGGAAAGCACTGGCACTGACCAGAGACAGAATCACAAGAAACAGCATTCACGCAATTACATGGTTTATCACAACTGCGGCCATAAAACCCCTCCTTACAAACAATAACTGGAATACTATCTGTAAAAAAAAATAAAAAAAAAAATCATGTTAATTCAAAGCAAATGATAAAAATACTGAGATAAATTACAATATTTTTAGAATTTCTCATTTATTATTTAATTCAGAAAATTAAACTGAAAGAGCAGTCACATTCTTAAAAGATAAAGTAATGATATTATACCTCTCTCTTTCACATAACATGTTAAACATCATCTTTGATACACCAGTAATTGTCAGAAAAGCCAATCGCATTAGAATTATTAACATATAAATAGAAAAAAACTATCTCTAAAATATCATTTATTCAATTGATTCTTTTATCAGTTAATTACATATGATACCTACATGCATTGTTTTCAAAAAACTGCATTTTATAAAATTCCTATAAACTAAGTTATGAAAAAACTGTACATGAGAATCAAACATGAAATAATTTTTAGATTTAGAACTCTAAATTTCCCACAGAACAGCATGCATTTTAAAAGATTTTACAACCTTAGTTCTATTAGCCCTGATTTAAATTAATAATAGATGGAAAACATACCTTGAAGCATACAGTCAGCTACATTTCCTGGACAGCTTACTTCACAATATGTACCACTGAAATCTTTTTTGCACAAGCACTGTCCTGTCTAAAAAAAAAAAAAAAAAATTAAATTAGAAAATTACATACATTATAAAGGGAAAATTTAAGGTCAAGAATTAGTAAGCAATTTCAATAGAACAACATTCAAGGAAGTTAAGAATATTCTATGACAAGCAAAGAAATAGAACCATTAAGGCTATGGTAACCCGATTGTTTTGCTTCAAAGATGTCTGAAAGCATAATGCCTTCATAGATGGATTAATTATTCAGTTATGGCAAAGCTGACAAAGGTTGTCAGCCAAAGATCCACTTTGTTTTGATTAAGAAAAACTGAGAAACATTATCTGAGGGTCCTGTACTCCTCTTCCACCAAAATGGTCGAAGAGTTTAATGGTGGTCCAGAGTTTTCTGGATTGATGAATTTTACGTGGCTTCAATCCGTACAGATATTGAGGTTACATATGTTTGTGTTAAGCCAGATTTCAAGCCTCAGCTCATTATTATTGTTATACAAACTGTTAACAAACAGGATGATAATGCGTTTTTGTGAAGAATGGAATTCTTGAAATCCATAAGCTCAACAGACCTCTTCATAAGTTGAAAAAGAGACAGGCTAATTCCCTGCCATGGGATGCTCTGAGTAAAAACTTAAAAGCGTCTGAATTAAGTCATGCATGTCTGTGCATCGCCAATGCCAGATATGAATATATAACTATTCACGCAGATTAATGACAAACTTTTAGATAAGCAGCAGTAAAATAATATTAATAAATTTTGAAATAAAATTCAAATCTAATGCACTTATTCTGGTTTATTTACAAACAGTATTAAGAGATCTACATATTTATCAAAATATGTATATGGTAAAATGTTAATTTATGCAATATCCAAAATAATATTAGTTATTGTATAATTAAGTATTTATAACTACGACTGGTCGAAGATGAATAGCTTATAGAAATCTATACCAACTAAAATATGCTTTTTTACATAATATAAATTTTTATACATCGGTATGTTCCCTTTGCAGGTAACTTACAGAATTTTAAAACAAGTACAATTTTAGACCTACGATTTGCCTAATTTTAAAGTCATTATAAAAGATATTAAAATTTCAAGCAAATCCTATAAAAAACTCCTCATAAATGAAGATGTAGATTCTGAAATCATCAATAGCAAAATAGAAGATTTTCACAAGATATTGCACCAAAGTAGTGCAGAAGTATAAATGAAAGATGTTGAACTGTGGATAGAAAATGATGATAACCCTGGCTACTAAAGTTTAAATGAAGCAAAAACCATTAACAGCATTTATACTGAACATAACAAGAACAAATAAAAAATGAGGTGAAGGAAATATACAAATCATGTTTAAATATATGTATGCAGTTTATTGCAGCTTACATATCACAAATTACAATTACTCTTTAAAAAGAGAGAACAAAAAGAATAAATATATATGTATAATTACAAAAATTAATAACTATAAATAAATAAATATAATTCTTTTGCAAAATTTAAATATAAGCTCCATACCACAAACTGCTGATTTAAGGCACTCTACAGATTCAGCAGAGGTGGAAATTGAATGCTAGTGTAACTCAAAGGACGACAGTTAAATTTCTTTAAATCATTAGCTTAGCAAATGAGGTAACACAACATTCATCTTCAAAATAAATTTATCTAGACAAAGCATAATTTCCTACAATTTATTAACTTTGTTAGTAACAATTTAATTTATTACAAAGCATACAATAAATACAGAATTTGTGAAACATTAAGGCAGTCTAGATTATGAAGTTCTGCACAGTATTTTGAAATCTTCATGTTATATTTTTGCTTTTTCATTTACCCAGATTTGTAATATTCCAAATAGGTATAATTACCTATTATTCCAGATTTATATGATTTTACTGTTTAGAAACAAGTGTGGTAAACATATAAAACAAATCTTTATGTCTCAATATCAGAAATAATCTATATTATTTTTCATTTTCCCTTTCTTTTATTTCCTTACTTGCATGATACATGTAGTGGGTATAAAATTTAAACAAAAACAAAAACTAAATTGTGCTTTGCTTTATTTAAAACGTTAAACAATGATTCTTGAATGCTGCATGTATACATGGTTTTGGTTTAGTGGTTTGAATGGCACACAACCTGGAAAGGTTATTAGCGCCAGATGCATGTCGAGAGTATACAATTAAAACACCCAAAAAATTAAGCTCAATCACAAATTTTACACAACAGACATATAAAATCAATATGTCTGTTGTCCAAAATAATATTAGTTATTGTAAAATAGAATATTAGTTATTGTAAAATAGAATATTAGTTATTGTAAAAAAGAAGTAATAAAATGATGAATATTTAAATGAAGTTATTCATGATTTATATAAAAATATGAAATGTGAAGCAGTGACTCGTGATTTATAAAAAAACGTGAAATGTGTGTTTAAATTACATTAAAATACAAGCGTATTATCAAATTTGATGATAAAAACCTGTTTCCTTCAAATAATGAAATAAATTAGTATTGACCTCTTTCCCGATTATTCGATCAAGAGGCTAGTCAGAATCATTAAAATACTTTAAACGAAGTGTGTTAAAATACACGTAGTTAACTTAAAAGTGATGCACTGTCAGAATACTCACACAGAAAGAATAAACAGGTTCACTCTTGGCCTTCAAAAGGTAGCTGTGTGTCACACGAGAGTGACCAATCCTTAGACGTGTTAACAACACCGGTTTCGTATGGAGTTCCAATACTCAATTAGAGGTTTCACGCTTGGAAGTTTATTGAGTACCTGCGCATCCCATAATAGGATTTCTCTGGGATTCTCCACACTTCTCTAGGATTTTTCTCTTGATGGCCTTCTTAATATCCGTCAGAGGAACTTGCTGGCTGCATAATTCAACAGCAGATTTGGCCGCGACATCTGCCAGTTCGTTTTCCCCAAATACCAACATGGCCAGGGACACAGCAGTACAGAATTTTGTAATCATGCTTTTGAACCTTTTAATGTTAACTTGAGAATGTCAACAACAATAGGACTGTGAGTGCTGGAAACAGGTTCTAAAAGTTCCAAAGCACTGTACGAGTCTGTATAGATTATGAATTTTTTATGGCATAGATTTGATGTATACAGAAGTGTAGAATATATAGCAGATAGTTCTGATGTTAAGACTGAGGAAGCGCAATGCAAACGTCTGCCTTCCATCAGAGTTCGTACACATTTCTCTGCACATGGAAATTAAGTACTTTTAAGGGCCATTAATGAAAAAATTAAGGACATGGGAGCAAATGGGAACTGAATAAATTCAATTAAAAATATTACCTATGCCTAATTTCATTTTTGTAATACCATCCTAAAAATAAAATAGATCCCTAAGTAGTATGCATTAATACAAAATATGAATTAACATAACTATTAATAAGTTTGGGAATAAAATTAACTTTATGCAATATATCAAGTAGCATTAAATATTTTACACTTATAATAGTTGGACATATTTGAAAGAAGATAAGTGATGACATTTACGTTTTACTACAAGTTAGCTTTATGTTGATTTTTGTTATGTCTTATTTTGTCACATACTTGGTCCAGTCTACAGAGGTTTAGTAAATAATCAGGTAGATTTTATGTCAAACTTCATAGGTTAAAATGAGAAGTAAGATCATAATTAGCAGGATTCAAGGACTGAGTGTTGTCATCGCTGCTGCTTGTCTAGAGAGAGAGCTGTTGATTAGAACAAACCTGAAAGGCCTGATGTAGGCACGGTTGGCAAAAGTTGAAAGTTAGTCAGGTTCTGTTTGATGTAGTTAGTGTAGTAGCTTTGTGCAGAATTCCAGGGTTTGTAACCGAGTTATTTTAAGTCTCATTTACTTGAATTTTTACTTTTTTTTTTTCAGTGAGTGTTATGAAAAGCAATAACTCACTTTAATATGTAGAAATAACTTTTAAGGGTAAGTAGTTAGTTATAAATAATTAAATTAGGTAGTTTGATAACCTTAGTCATGGTGGATTTACATGGCCACTATTAAATTTTATTTCTTAACAATATTTGTTAAAAAAGCCATATTAAAATCAAAATCTAACAAAATTTCACTTTTTAAAATACATGTAATTTATGATATTGATTCTTAAATGATATTAAGATAATTACACATTAAAAGCCACAAAATATTTATGTTTTGTAACAACAATAACAACATTTAACAAAATATTTATACGTCATTTTAACTTAGAGCCTTCCCAAACATTTGGTTAGTTTATATCGATTTCTTTCTCTTTAAGCATCTTTTCTAACAACTAGAGATTTGTCTCAATATGCAAACCATTGCTCTCACTAGTTTCTGCATGCTTTATCTCCTAACTTGTCAACCTCTCCTCAATGTACCTATGAGGATTTACTTGATCTGGTAAAAGTCAGACAAAGGTTTAAATAAGCCTCTTATTTAAAACGAACTTAGAACATAAAGGCATGTTCTGATGCTAACAATACCAGTTACAGCTCACGGTGATGTAAATAAACAAGAACAGTCAAATTCAAACTAAAAATGTGGACTAGTGGTCAAAGATTATACAGTTTAATTTTAATTTAATCTGGCTCAGTAACTCTATCATAGGAGGAAATATAAATGGAAAATTATAGTAAAGGCTGAAATCATAAACAATTGGGTAATTTACATAATAATAACTGCACATATCTTCAAAGAATAATTTTCTTTATGTATTCAGTTTCTTCCTTCAACACGTTTCCTTTTCATTTTAGAATTTTCAGACTTAATTAAGGATTTTTATTATTCTAAAAAACACTAAATGCATTTAGAATGTATAGAAAAAGCGACTAATTTTATTTCTTTAATAATATGAACATTCAGAAGAAATATTAAATATATATGGTAAAGGCCGGTTACAGAGCTAATGTGGCAGAATTTTTAGAATTTAGTTACACACCAAACAACAAAATCTAGAAATGGCAGAACTTTTATAATTTAAAGCAGACATTGGATGCAGAATTTAGATAGGCACTAGGCACCAG